TCCTTGGGGCGTCTTGGCGGCCTCTTGGGGGCCTCTGGCGGCCTCTTGGGGCACCCTGGGGGCCCCCTGGGGCTCGTGGGGGCGGAACGCTAGATTTTTAAATTTTTGGTTGCCCTCTTGGGCCCCTCTTGGTGCCGTCTTGGAGCCTTCTTGGCCGTCTTGGGGCCATCTTGGGCTGTCGTGGGGCCGCCTTGGGGGCCTCTTGGGCCGTCGTGGGGCGGTCTTCGGGGCCTCTTGGGCCGCCTGGGAGCATCGGAAAGCCCACGAGGCGAATTTGTGAACAATATACGTTTTACCAAGGAAATGCCCTCTTGGGACGCATCTTGGAGGCCTCTTGGGGGCGTCTTGGGCCATCTGGAGGCCATCTCGGGTGTCTTCGATCGCTCTTGGACCGCGTGGGACCATGTCGAGCTCTCTTGGAAGCCACTTGGGACGCTCCTGGAGCGCTCTTGGGGCCGTCTTCGGGGCTCTCTTGGGCCGTCTTCGGCGCTTCTTGAGCCGTCTTTGGGCCCTCTTGGGCTATCTTGGGACCCTCTTGGAGGTTTCTTGGGCCGTCTTGGGGCGGTCTTGGGGGCCTCTTGGACCGTCTGGGAGCGTCGGAAAGCCCAAAAGGCGAATTTGTGAAAAATCTACGTTTGACGAAAGGAACGGGCCAATTTTTGCGTCTAGAGGCCCTCTTGGGACGCATGTTGGATGCTTCCTGGGGCCTCTTGGGGGCATCTTGGGCCGTCTGGAGGCCATCTTCGGTGTCTTCGATCGCTCTTGGACCGTCTGGGACCATATTGAGCTATCTTGGAGGCCACTTGGAGCGCTCCTGGAACGCTCTTGGGGCCGTCTTCGGGGCCCTCTTGGGCCGTCTTGGACGCCTGTTTGGCCGTCTTGGGGCCGTCTTGGGCTATCTTGGGGCCCTCTTGGAGGCTTCTTCGGCCGTCTTGGGGGCCTTTTGGGCCGTCTGGGAGCATCGGAAAGCCCAGAAGGCCAATTTGTGAAAAGTGTACGTCTGACAAAGGGAATGGGCAAATTTTTGCGTCTAGGGACCCTCTTGGGGCGCATCTTGGAGGCCTCTTGGGGCCTCGTGGGGACCTCTCGGGCCGTCTTGGAGGCCTCTTAGCCCGTCTTTGGGCCATTTTGGGCGTCTTGGGGCGCTCGTTTGGCGTCTCGGGGCCCTCGTAGGGCCGTCTTGGAGGCCTCTTGGGGCCTTTTTGAACCGTCGCGTGGGCCCGTTTGTGCGCTTTTGGCACGTTTTGGGACCTTCTGCTCCCCCATGACGCGTTCGGCGGTGGGTGCCCCGGGGCCGGGGGGGGGGTCAAATCTCCGGTATAGGGTCCCTGGGGAGGGTCATGGGGGGGGAACTCTCTCACACGCCTAGACACCCACAAAGGGTCGGCGGATGACGGGAAGCGCCTTCGGCGTGGACCGTTTATTGGTGGTAAAAACTTATTGAATCGCTTCGCTCATTCCGCCGGCCCGTGATATGGCATCGCTGGTTTTTGTCTGTGTGTTCGTTGCCCATGTTGCGCTCTTGGGGGCGGGTGTCGTTCGGACGCGTTGCGTGGGGAGTTTTGATGGTGAAGCAGTTCCCTGGGGGTCGTCTCTCGATGGGGCGAAATAGAGTCGTCGTCAAGATGCTTCTTTGGGGGGCCTCTTGGGGTCTGTTGAGAGGCCGTTCGGGGGCGCCTGGGAGACATGTTTGAAGCCTTCTGGGGCTTCTTTTGGGCCTCCTGGGAGTCTCCTGGGGCCTCTTGGCGACATCTTGGGGCCTCTTGGAGGCCTCTTGGGGCCTCTTTGGGACCTCCTGGGCGCCTTCTGGGACGGAGGGCTCCATTTTTGAGTTCTCGGTATCCCTCCTGAGTCCCTCTTGGGCCCGTCTTGGGGCCTCTTGGTCCGTCTTGGGCGGCACTTGGGCCGTCTTGAGGGCTCTCTTGGGTCGTTTCGGCGCCGTCTTGGGAGCTTCGTGGGCCGTCTTGGAGCGGTCTTGGGGGCCTCTTGGGCCGTCTTGGAGCGTCCGGAAGCCGAAAAAGCCAGAACACAAAAAACATCGAAAAAAACAATGAAAATCAACGATTTTGGCCTCTTGGGGCTCTCTTCGGAGGCCTCTTGGAAGGCTCTTGGGGCGTCTTGGAGGCCTCTTGGGCTGTCTTGGGGGCCTTTTGGGCCGTCTTGGGGTCATCTTCGGCGTCTTCGAGCGCTCTTTGGGCGTCTCGGGGGCCTCTTGGGCAGTCTTGGGGGCCTCTTGGGGCACTCTGAGCGCGCTCTGGGGAGCCTGAGAGGCCGCACCCAGAAGGAAAACCATCTCTGAGTAGACTTGGTCGGGCGGCGGTCGGGCGGCGGTCGGGCGGCGACCGGGCGTTGGTCGGGGTACTTTTCGCCGGGGGACCCCCAGGGGCCGCCCCGCGCGCGCGAACTAGAAATATTGTTAATACTGTTAACCAGTTACCGGAGATCTTAGCACGCCCTGGCCCGTTGGGCCGGCGAATTGTGGGGCACGGATTGCACCCGGCAGCTCGCTGGCGGATGACGGGAAGCGTCTTCGAGGTACGAGAAGCAAGCGGGACGTTCTGGCTGAATCCTTGAGTAAATATATATATATATATATATATATATATATATATCTTTATATCTATGGGTTGCGGGGGTGCACGGGTTTTTCGTTGGCGGATGACGGGAAGCGTCTTCGAGGTACGAGAAGCAAGCGGGACGTTCTGGCTGAATCCTTGAGTAAATATATATATATATATATATATATCTTTATATCTATGGGTTGCGGGATCGCACGGGGGTTTTCGTTGGCGGATGACGGGAAGCGTCTTCGAGGTACGAGAAGCAAGCGGGACGTTCTGGCTGAATCCTTGAGTAAATATATATATATATATATATCTTTATATCTATGGGTTGCGGGGCTGCACTTGATTTTTCGTTGGCGGATTCCCCAAAATGGCCATTTCGCTCGAGACATCCTCGAAAAATCGAGATGTTGGAGGCTATCGTTTAAGACGTTTTATGTTAAAAATGACGGTTTCGCTCGAGACATCCTCAAAAAATCGGGATGTTGCAAAATATCAAAAATTTTTGTTATGATGAAAAATGAGCGTTTCGCTCGAGACATCCTCGAAAAAATGAGATGCCGACAGAGGTGTTTTACAACCTCTTCTGTTCTAAATGACGTTTTCGCTCGGAACGTCATCAGAAAATGAGCAGGAGCACGATTTGAAGAAAAAAAGGAGCACGGCAGACTACACAGGAGCACGGCAGACTCCACAGGAGCACGGCAGACCACAAAGGGAACACGGCAGACCACACAGGAGCCTGGCAGACCCCACACGAATACGGCAGACCCCAGAGGAGCACGGCAGACCACACAGGAGCACGGAAGACCACACAAGAGCACGGCAGACCCAACAGGAACACGGCAGACCCAAAACGAGCACGGCAGAGCCGACAGGAGCACGGCAAACCCCGCAAGAGCACGGCAGACCGCACAGGAGCACGGCAGACCACACAGGATCACGGCAAACCCCACAGGAGCACGGCAGTCCACACAGGACCACGGCAGTGGTGTTGCTGGTTTGGTCCCCTCGGGATACCGCATTGACGTGTTGCTGGTTTGCCCCCCCCCAGGATACCTTCTTGACGTGTTGCTGGTTTGTCCCCTCAGCACCTTCTTGACGTGTTGCTGGTTTGCCCCCTCAGGATGACTTCTTGGCGAGTGGCTGGTTTTGCCTCAGGGTAACTTATTGAAGTGTTGGTGGTCGACCACCTCAGCACCTTCTTGGCGCGTTGCTCGTTTGCCCCCCTCAGGATAACCTTTGACGTGTTGCTGGTTTGCCCCGTCAGGATAACTTCTTCACGTGTTGCTGGTTTGCCCCCACAGGAGCACGGCAGACCACACAGGAGCACGGCAGACCCCACACGAGCACGGCAGACCAAAGAGACGACACAAGGAGCACAGCAGATCCCGCAGGAGCAGGGCAGACACCACACGAGCACGGCAGATCCCAAATGAGCACGGCAGACACAGAAGCACTGCAGACCACACAAGAGCACCGCAGACCTCACAGGAGCACGGAAGACCCCACAGGAGCACGGCAGACCCCACAGGAGTACGGCAAACCACAAAGGAGCACGGCAGACCACAGAAGCACGGCAAACCACACAGGAGCACGGCAGACCACACAGGAGCACGGCAATCCCCACAGGAGCACGGCAGACCGCGCGCAGGTACAACATAAACGCGCCTTTTGTTGTACCCCGAACGCCGCTGGCGTTTCCCCCACAGGAGCACGGCAGACCACACAAGCTGGCGGGAAACCCCAAATGAGCACGGCAGACCACAGGAGCACGGCAGACCACACAGGAGCACGGCAGACGCCACAGGAGCACGGCAGACCGCGCAGGAGCACGGCAGACCACACATGAGCACGGCAGACCCCACAGGAGCACGGCAGACCCCATAGGAGCACGGCAGACCATAGAAGAGCACGGCAGACCAACAGGAGCACGGCAGACCACACAAGAGCACGGCAGGCCACACAGGAGCACGGCAGACCACACAGGAGCACGGCAGACCACAAAGGAGCACGGCAGACCACACAAGAGCACGGCAGACCCCACAAGAGCACGGCAGACCCCACAGGAGCACGGCAGACCCCACAGGAGCACGGCAGAGCAGACCCTAAAGGAGCACGGCAGACCACACAGGAGCAAGGCAAACCACAGGAGCACGGCAGACCACACAGGAGCACGGCAGACCCCACAGTAGCAAGGCAGACGCCAAAGGAGAACGGCAGACCACCGGAGCACGGCAGACCACACAGGAGTACGGTTCCGTAGCCATTTTGGCTCAAGGCCATGGCGCACCCGACGACAGCGAGTCCGTCGGGCGTTCTTGAGCGCGAGGGGCGCTCTGCCACGAGCCAGAAGCTTCGCCAAATTTGTGCTTCTTCGTTCCTGCAGGGCCGAGCGTTTCGGCCGAGCTGCGGCCAGTCCCTCGGTGAGCCGCCATGTCGGAGGTGGCCTCGGGGCTCGCTCGGAGGGCGTACTGGTTGTGTGCTAAGCGTGGCTGTAACGCTTGGAATTGGTGTGACAAGCGGTGGACGTGCAAGGCGTGCGGCACCAGTGCTCCCCCATGGACGAAGGAGTACCGCTCCGACAAGGTTTCCCCTCGGGTGGACGCCGACGGGTTCGTGCAGCAGCCCAGGGGAAGAGCCGAGCAGCGCGCTGCGAGGCGCTCGGCCTCCCAGCGGGCCCTCTCAGGGAGCACCGCACCCAGCAGCGCCCCCAACAGCAGGGCACGGCGTGCGCGGCCCTTGGGAGAGGCCAAGTCTCAGTACGAAGGGCTCCAGGCGCAGCTCGAGGCGGCCAAGGAGCGTGTCGGCAGGCTCCAGGTGGCCGCGGCGCTCGGGCTCTCGGAGGTCTTCCAGCGGGAGGCGGAGGAGGCCCTCCAGCAGGGCAAGGACCAGGTCGCCGCCCTCGAGCGGTCCGTCCAGGAGGCCCAGAGGACGGAGCGCCCGCCCCACTCCGTTTTCCACATCGAGGCCAACGCCATCCAGAAGGTCGAGCGTCAGCTGGCCACAGCACGTACCAAGCGAGAGAAGCTCCAGCTGCAGGCGTCCGAGCTGCGTGAGCTCATTGCGGAGAAGCAGGAGCAGCTTTCGGCGGCCGAGTTGGGAGTTGATGAAGTCACTGGGCATATTGCTGAGCTGGAAGAGACCAGAGCCAAGGTCACGCAGCAGGCGATCCAGAGGGCCAACGCGGCAGTCGGTGGCGTGGCGAGCCCGCTTGGGGACGCCGTCCAGGGGTTGCTCACTCAGGTTGGGGCCCTGTCGGACCTCCTCAAGCAGCACGGGGCAGAGCTGCCCCCCAGGTTCTCGGAGATCGTCGAGATTCTCAACACGCAGAAGGAAGCGGTCGCTGATGTGCTCAGGCCCCGCAGCAGCTCGGCCAGGAAGCGCTGGGGCGACAGCGTTGGCGACGACGGCCTCGCGTCTGAGGACGACGACATGCCGCTCGACATCGTGTCCTCAGGTGGGCCCGTGGCCGCCCCCCCCGCTGGCGCCCCGCAGGCAGGGCCGACCGCGGCTGGGCCTCCAGCCCCACGGGCCAGGCCCGCGGACGGACCCTACGGGCCCGCAGCGGCCCGTGGCCAGCACGGAGCGACCCTGGGCGCGTGGCCCCAGGTGGAGCCCTGCCTCGCCAAGGCCCTCGCAGAGCAGGGGGCGGCCATCTCGGACGGCGACCCCTTGGTGGCTGCGGCTGCTGTCGTGGCTCCTGCTGCTGGGCACGGGCCGCGCCGTGGGTGATGCAGGAGGTTTGGAGTGGCAAGCCTGGACAGTACGCGGGCCCAGACGCTGGGGCAGGTGGAGGAGGCGCTGCGACGGCCGCTGGCGCGTCCGAGCCCCTCGCAGGCGGCGGGCGGCGCCGAAGGCCCCTGCCCGAAGTAGCCAGCTGGCGCGGTCGGGAACACCGAGGTGGCCCCCCGACGGCCAGTCAGGGGCCAAGAGCGGTGGGATTCAGCCCCACGACGTCGCAGCTCTTGGCCCCGACGGTGATGGGCAGGCGCACCCCCCGCTGGCAACCGGAGGGGCGGAGGGGCGGCCGCCTCCTCAGCGACGGCCACCTCCCGCGCTGGCGAACGGCCCGCCGACGCCGTCTAGGAGCGCTGGAGCGAGGGGCCAGGTCCCCCCTCCAGTCCTGGTGGGGGCGGAGGGCCCCGCGACCAGGGGCCTGGCGGGCTTGGAGTCTGGCGCTGAGGAGCGCGCTGCTCGCGAGGCTGCCGTCATCGGCAAGGCGCAGCTAGTTGACAGGGCAGGAGGCCAGCAGCTCCGAGCTGGCCTCGTCTTGCTCGGCTGCAATGGCAATACTTGGAGCAGGAGCATTGAGGTCATTGAAGCCTTCTTCAAGGCGTACGACTACTGGCCCGACGTTGTGGCGCTGCAGGAGACGAGGCTCCCGCATGAGCGCCTGCCCAGTGCGGCCCCGCGGCCTGGGGTACGCGGCCTTCCTCCACGAGGCAGCGTTGACGGAGAAGCAGGGGCCCCAGGCGACCTCAGGCGGCGTGGCGCTCCTGGTGCGGGACGGCTTGCAGGCCGACGAGTCTGAGTACCCGCTGCCCTCGGCATTGCGGCACCGCCTCATCGGCGTGGAGGTGGCCGCCGCTTCTGGCCTTCGGCTCCTGGTGCTCGCTGGTTATTTTCAGCACTCTCTGGGCCCTAGAGGCACCAACCTGGACATGTTTTCGGCCATCTCGGAGGTGACGGGCTCCTCTGCCGACATCCCGTGGGTCCTCCAAGCGGACTTCAACATGGAGCCCGAGCCCCTGGAGGAGTTGGGGTGGCCCGCGGCTGTGCGGGGGCACGTCCTCGGGCCCTCGGAGGCGACGTGCCGTGCCGAGGGCTGTGACCACCTCTACGACTGGTTCGTGGCTTCTGCGGCGCTGGCAGCCTGCACGGCCTCCTGCGCCACCACGCTCGAGGGCTTCGGTCTGCACCCTCATCGCCCTGTCCTCCTTCGCCTACAGGATGTTCGGGCGGATGCGTTGGTGGAGGTTCCGTCCAGGCCCGCCCGCTTCCCCGAAGTGGCACCTGAGCGCCTTCGGGCGCACGAGGAAGCGGAGATTATGTGCTACTCGGTGGGCAAGAAGGGGCAAGTCACGCCCAGGGATGTCTCGTGGTCCTGGGACGCAGGCTCCGCTCCGACCAACCTCTCTGTCGCCTTCAGCGAGTGGGCGGCAGCTGCTGAAGGCACCCTGGTCGGCATCCACTGCATCGGCCAGGCAGACTTGGCCCGTCATCTCGGCAGGGGAGAAGGGCCTAGGCTGACCCTCAAGCCTCTCAGCGCCCTTGTCAGGCGAGATGCTAGGTTCAGGTTCAGCCTCCTCACGCACCGCTTAAGAAGTTGCCTGGATGTGGCCCTCCAGCGGGTGCGCGCGGAGAGGTCTGGCCGATGGCACCCTCGGCATGCGGACTGGTACGGGCACCAGGCCGAGCTCAGGGCGCAGCTCTTGCTGGAGGCGGTGCAGGAGGCGGACGACTCGGTCGGTCAGGCTCTCCCTGGTGCTGCTCCTGATCGGCTGGGCGACCTGGTGTTCCAGGCGGGCGTCCTCGGCAGCCCTGATGCAGTTCGGGACCTCCAAGGGCTGCTCAGTGCATCGCAGCGCCGCGACGCGGCTCAAAGCGCCCAGGCCTGGCGCAACTGGGCCCAGACAGCGGTCGAGAAGGGCGGTCGCCTGGCCCACCGCTTCTCGAAGGCGACGCCCCCGCCGACGGTCAGGGACGCTGACTCGGGCAGGAGGCTTGTTGGGATGGCAGCGATTGGAGAGCTCACGAGTGTCTGGCAGAAGCTGTGGCTCCAGGACGGGTTTGCCATGGGCGCAGGGGCCAGCAGCTGGGACGTTGGCGAGTGGCGGCTGCCCCCCATCTCGCTGGAGCAGCTCCAGGCAGCCTGCAAACGCTACAGCCCCTCGGTGGGCCTCGGGTGCGACTCCCTGCACCCTCGGCAGATCCTCCTTCTGCCCGTGGCGCTGCAGCAGCGCATCCTGGACATCCTGGCGGCCTACGACGAAGCCCCTGCATCCATCAACGGGCAGGTCTCCCTGATGGTGTTCATCCCGAAGGCAGATGGTGGGGTAAGGCCCATTGCGCTGCTGCCGCTGATCCTGCGGCTCTGGTCGCGCCTCCGCCAACCGTGCTGTGCACGCTGGGAGGCTGACCACAACTTCCCCTTCTTCTGGGGACGTGACGGGCGGGACTGTGAGCGGGCTGGTTGGCTGCACAACTGTTTCGCGGGGTTCGCGAAGTCGAACTTGCAGTTCGAAGCCGCGAGCCTCTTCCTGGATATCAGCAAGTTCTACGAGCACGTGCGGCACGATGTTCTCTGGGCGAATGCTGTACGTTTCGGGTTCAACCTCAGGCTGCTGCGCGGCCTCCTCACCTCCTACCAGGCCCCGAGGATGATCCTCGCGGCGGGCATGGCCTCCCCCGCCTTCGGCACTACTGGTACGGTGTTGGCTGGGTGTGCGTGTGCGACAGCAGTGGCGAAGCTCCCAGTACTGGGAGCCCTCCTGGCCGCGGGGGCGACGAGCCCTTTGGTCACGCCGAGGAATGTTGTTGACGACATCTCGCTCCAGGCGGTCGGTGCGGCCCGACTCGTGAAGCAGCAGATGGTCGCCGCCAGTTGTGAGGTGGTCCGCCAGCTGCGTGAGCAGCACCTCCCTCTCAACGAGAGTAAGTCGGTCTTCCTGGCCTCGTCGCCGCAGCTCGCCAAGGAGCTCTCCGAGGCTTGGGCGGTACAGGGCTTGACCTTCAAGAGGGGACTTCAGGCGAGGAACCTCGGCACCGACGCCAACATTACTCGTCGTGGAGTGCATGAAGGAGCTGTGCGTGCGGGCGGCGGCCTTCGCCGAGGACGCAGGCTAGGGGTGCTTCGCTCAGCTGGCGCGGCGACCGAGATGGTCCACCGTGCTGGGCCCACCGCGGCGATGCTGTGGGGGCGCACTGTGACTGGTGTACCTGATAGGGAGCTTCACTCGTGGCGCTTGGCGGCGGTGCGCTCGGCTGGGAAGTTCCCTAAGGGCGCCTCGCTCGGGCTGAGACTCAGAGTGGTGGAGGTCATGAAGTCCATCGACCTCGACCCGAGCCCCGCGCTGCTTCGTGCCGCGGTGCAGATGGCGGCCAGTCTCCTCCAGTCGGGGGAGGTCCCGCAGCGTATGTTCGAGACGGCCTTGCAGGAGGCAGTACAGAGGCACGCGGGAGCAGCAGCCCCATGGGCGCACTGCCGCACGCCGGTGGATGCCTTGGCCCTCTCGCTCTCCAGGGTGGGCTGGAGGCTCGTTCCAGGCACCCGCCTCGCCACCGACGACGGCCATATCCTGGACCTGCGCATGATGGGGCCGCGCGAGCTGGGCCTGCTGGCTGCGGCAGGGGCGCGGCGTGCGTCAGACAAGTCGGAGCTGGCCCGCCTTAGCCACGGTGCGCTCCCCCAGTCGCCCCTGTTCTGGGAGGCCTTCGCGGAGGTCCTCGGGCCTGGCAGCAAGCTCAGCCCCAGGGAGAAGGCGGCAGTGGTGAGTTTCCTTTCCAACGCCCACTGGCCCCAGACCCGTTTGCACTCGGCGGGAGAGAGGGAGCACGCTCGCTGCTGTGCTTGTGAGGCCCCCCGCGGCAGCCTCTGGCACAGGCTGTTCGAGTGTCCTGTACTTGCGGGGCCGAGGCGTGACTCTACCTCCGACCGCCTTCGGCGCTGCGCACATCGTGCACGTGTTCGTGGTGAGGAGGCGGCTGAGTGTTTCGCGCGCTGCTGGCTCCCGCAGCCCCCGAGGGCCGCCCCGAGGTCGGATGCCATGGCAGTCATGTGGTGCAATCGCCCCGCCGACGGCCTCCTCGGGGGACGGCTCTACCTGGACGGGTCGGCGCTCGACCCCGAGCACGAGAGCCTGCGGCGTGCAGGCTGGAGCATTGTGCAGTGCGACTCCGACGGCAACATGGAGTGCGCGGTGTACGGCAGCGTGCGCCAGGACCTCTGCCCGTTCCAGACGGCGAAGGACGGCGAGGATTTCGCGGTCTGGATGCTGTCACGCTTCCTGGGCCCGAGCGTTGACGAGATCCTCATCGATTGTGCGTCCACGGTCAGCTGCCTCACGTTGGGCAAGAAGTACGCGACGGCAGCCAACAAGCCCAACGCCCATCTCTGGGAGGGGATCTACGCATCGCTGGACGTGGACATGCTCAAGGTGACCAAAGTGGCAGCCCACTGCACCGCCAGAGACGTGATGGATGGCAAGATCACGGAGGCGGACCTCCGTGGCAACGGACATGCAGACCGCTTGGCCAAGGCGGGGGCGGAGCTGCACCGTACCAGCCCTGTGGCCAGGCGCGAGCTCCTTGGCGCGATGGAGGTGGTGAGGGAGCTCTCGTGCTGGGTGGCGCAAGCCTCCCTCATCTGGCAGGGGATCGAGGTCAAGGACTGCGAGGGCCTCCCCGAGGGCAGCGAGCGGACGGCCGTCTCCTTCGCAGTACCAGTGGTGGAGCCCGCCAGCAGCCGCCCGTCCGACTCGGGTCCGAGCGACGGGTGGGCCTCGGCGGCACGCGCTGGGGGCGTCTCCCTTGGTGCGACGGCCTTCGTCGTCGCCGGCCATGTCCTGGCCTATGCCAAGTGCGGGGAGGGCGCCGCCGAGCAGGAGCTGATGGCGTGCACACACTGCGGGGCGTACGCGCGGCTGGGCGGGCGCTCAGGCGCGGCGCCCAAGCTCAAGGAGCAGTGCCCAGGGTCTGCTGGGCTTCCCAAGGGCAGGCGAGACCAGAAGGCGCGCTGGCTGCAGGGGCGGCATCCTGCTGGCACGCCCCACAGCGGCAGCAAGCGGGTCGGTGCGTCTGTGCCCAGCTTGCGCAAGGAGGACGTGGTGCCGATGGCCGCTAGGGTGCGCTTCCTGCAGTGGCTAGGGGTCCGCCCCGATGATGCACCTGGCGGCGCGGCCGCCGACGCCTGCCGCGGGCCCCCCAGCGGCGCGGCGGCCGCAGGTGAGGCGGAGGCTGAGCCTTTTGTGCCAGACCCCTCGGGGGCCTCGAGGGAGGCTTGGCTTAGCGCCTACGGGCTTGACGAGGCGAGCCTCCTCGAGTGGTCAGCAGCGGCAGAGTCGGCGCGCGAGGACAGGCGCAGGAAGCGCCGCCGCGCTGATGGTGACGTAGGGGAGTGATGCAGCATCATCTTCCTCCTCCTGTTGTGTCCGCCCCTCGTCATCTCCTTTCGCTGTGTGCGTGAGGCAGCATCTTCTGCCCCGCATCTGAGTTGCAGCGAGGCGGGCATGTTAGGCGTGGTTTGCGCGCCTCAGCCCCTGCTGCCTTTCTGATTTCTTTGAAATCCTGCGCTTCGCGCATTTGGCGCTTCGCGCCCTCCCCTGCGGGCTCCTTTGGGGCCCCTAGGGTTGGCCCTTGAGGCCCTGGGGCCAACGGGCTCCGTGGGCCTCGGGCTCCTTTTAGCCTTCATAGGCCCCGCAGCTCACAGCTCACACAGGAGTACGGTTAGAGTCTGGGGGCCGCCTCGCCTGGCATGAGTTCTAGGAGCGGAGGCAGGGACTTCGGCGAGGCCCGTTGTGTGTTTCAGCCCCCACGTGAGGTCAGGCCGTTTGGCTTTGCAATGCGTGTGCTGGCCTCACCTCGAGGTCCGTGAGGCCCTTCGTCACTTGTTCAGAAGGTCGGCCTCGCGTCTCATGTGCAGCGAGGCAGACTTCCTGGCCGTGCTTTGCGTGTCTCAGTCTCCGCTGCTGTCTTCATTTCTTTGAAATCTTGCGCTTCGCGCGTTTGGCGCTTCGCGCCCTCCCCTGCGGAGGCTCCTTCGGGGCCTCTAGGGTTGGCCCTTGAGGCCCTGCTCATACAGGAGTACGGCAGACCCCACATGAGCACGGGAAATCCCAAATGAGCACGGCAGACCACAAGAGCACGGCAGACCACACAGGAGCACGGCAGACTCCACAGGAGCACGGCAGACCACAAAGGAGCACGGCGGATCACACAGGAGCCCGGCAGACGCCACAGGAGCACGGCAGACGCCACAGGAGCACGGCGGAACCCACAGGAGCACGGCAGACCGCGCGCGGGTACAACATAAACGCGCCTTTTTGTTGTACCCCGAACGCCGCTGGCGTTTCCCCAAGAGGAGCACGGCAGATCTCACAGGCGCGCGGCAGACCCCAAATGAGCACGGCCGACCACAGGTTCTTTATATCTATGGGTTGCGGGGCTGCACTTGATTTTTCGTTGGCGGATGACGGGAAGCGTCTTCGAGGTACGAGAAGCAAGCGGGACGTTCTGGCTGAATCCTTGAGTAAATATATATATATATATATATATATATATATATCTTTATATCTATGGGTTGCGGGATCGCACGGGATTTTTCGTTGGCGGATTCCCCAAAATGGCCATTTCGCTCGAGACATCCTCGAAAAATCGAGGTGTTGGAGGCTATCGTTTAAGACGTCTTATGTCAAAAATGACGGTTTCGCTCGAGACATCCTCAAAAAATCGGGATGTTGAAAAATATCAAAATTTTTGTTATGCATGAAAAATGAGCGTTTCGCTCGAGACATCCTCGAAAAAATGAGATGCCGACAGAGGTGTTTTAGAACCTTTTATGTCAAAAAAGACGTTTTCGCTCGGGACGTCCTCAGAAAATGAGCAGGTGGTCTGCCGTGCTCCCGTGTGGAGCACGGCAGACCACGGCCATTTCGCTCGAGACATCCTCAAAAAATCGAGGTGTGGTCTGCCGTGCTCCTGTGTGGTCTGCCTTGCTCCTGTGGTCTGCCGTGCTCCTCACAGGAGCACGGCAGACCGCGCGTAGGAACCGAGAGGAGCACGTCAAGAAGGTGCTGAGGGGGGCAAACCAGCAACACGTCAAGAAGTTATCCTGGGGGGCAAACCAGCAACACGTCAAGAAGTTATCCTGGGGGGGGCAAACCAGCAACACGTCAAGAAGTTATCCTGAGGGGACAAACCAGCGACACGTCCAAAAGATGCTGAGGGGGGCAAACCAGCAACACGTCAAGAAGTTATCCTGACGGGGCAAACCAGCAACACGTCCAAGGTTATCCTGAGGGGGGCACACGAGCAACACGCCAAGAAGGTGCTGAGGTGGTCGGCGGACCAACACCTCAATAAGTTACCCTGAGACAAAACCAGCCACTCGCCAAGAAGTCATCCTGAGGGGGCAAACCAGCAACACGTCAAGAAGGTGCTGAGGGGACAAACCAGCAACACGGCAGACCGCGCGTAGGAACCGAGAGGAGCACGGCAGACCAAGACAAGGAGCACGGCAGACCAGGCTTAGGAACCGAGAGGAGCACGGCAGACCAAGACGAGGAGCACGGCAGACCAGGCACCAAGAGCGCCCTCAAGACGACGGAAAGGATGACCAAGACGAGGAGCACGGCAGACCAAGACGAGGAGCACGGCAGACTATGCCCTAAGAGTAATCGAGGTGTGGTCTGCCGTGCTCCTGTGTGGTGTGGTGGGGCCTCTAAAGGCTGGAAAAAGGTGAGCCCGAGGCTCTCGGGAGCCTCCAGGGCCAGCAGGAGGGGGCCGTTTCGGGCCGCCCTCCCCGAGGGGCCGCTTCGGGCCAACCTCCAGCACACCCTCACGAGGGGCCGCTTCGGGCCTCCCCGAGGGCCGGCCGCCAGGGCCAACGGGGGCGCCTAGGCCCCAGGGCCACGAGGGCGGGCGGTGCCGAGAGGCATGCAGAAGCAGCGAAGCTGCACCGAAGATCAAGCCGTGCTCCTGTGTGGTCTGCCTTGCTCCTGTGGTCTGCCGTGCTCCCCAAAATGGTCTGGCGTGCTCCTGTATGGTCTGCCGTGCTCTTGTGTGGTTTGCCGTGCTCCTGTGTGGTCTGCCGTGCTCCCGTGGGGTCTGCCGTGTCCTGTGTGGTCTGCCGTGCTCCTGTGTGGTCTGCCGTGTTCCGGAAAATTGGCCGTTTCGCTCGGGACGTCCTCAAAAAATCGGCTCCGGAGGGGACTCCGAAGCAGCATTATCTTGGAATCGCTCCCGGAGGGCCTCCAAACGGCCCAAGAAAGCCCCCGAAGGCCCCCCAGAGGACCCCCAGAGCGCCCCAAGAGACCCCCAAGAGGCCCCCAAGGGGCGGCCAGAGGCCCGCCAGAGCGCCCAAAACGCCCCAAGAGACCCCCAAGAAGCCCCCCAGGGGCTCCAAAGAGGCGGCCAGAAGTCCCCCAGAACGCGCGAAAAGGCTCCAGGAGTTCCCTGAGAGCTTCATATCGCCCCATAGAGCCCCCGAAGGCCCCCCCCGGGACTCCCCCAAGAGGCCCCCGAGAGGCCAGAGGCTACGACAGCCCCAAGAGCGTCCAAGATACCTCCAAGACGGCGCCGAAGCCAGGAAACGCAACAGGGATGTTCTCCGACGTTCTCGCCAATACGGTCTCTGACGCACGTGGTGGATAAAAAACTGCGCTTCCCGTTCTTGTCCGGTCAGGTTCCCCAAAATGGCCATTTCGCTCGAGACATGCGGCGCTGCACTTGATTTTTCGTTGGCGGATTCCCCAAAATGGCCGTTTCGCTCGAGACATCCTCTAAAAATCGCGATGTTGGAGGCTATCGTTTCAAACGTTTTATGTCAAAAATGACGGTTTCGCTCGAGACATCCTCAAAAAATCGGGATGTTGCAAAATATCAAAATTTTTTGTTATGATCCAAAATGGCCGTTTCGCTCGAGACATCCTCGAACAATCGCGATGTTGGAGGCTATCGTTTCAAACGTTTTATGTTAAAAATGACGGTTTCGCTCGAGACATCCTCAAAAAATCGGGATGTTGCAAAATATCAAAAATTTTTGATATGATGAAAAATGAGCGTTTCGCTCGAGACATCCTCGAAAAAATGAGATGCCGACAGAGGTGTTTTACAACCTCTTATGTTCAAAATGACGTTTTCGCTCGGGACGTCCTCAGAAAATGAGCCGGAGCACGATTTGAGGAAAAAAAAGAGCACGGCAGACCACACAGGAGCACGGCAGACTCCACAGGAGCACGGCAGACCACAAAGGGAACACGGCAGACCACACAGGAGCCCGGCAGACCCCACACGACTACGGCAGACCCCAAAGGAGCACGGCAGACCACACAGGAGCACGGAAGACCACACAAGAGCACGGCAGACCCAACAGGAACACGGCAGACCCAAAACGAGCACGGCAGAGCCGACAGGAGCACGGCAAACCCCGCAAGAGCACGGCAGACCGCACAGGAGCACGGCAGACCACACAGGATCACGGCAAACCCCACAGGAGCACGGCAGTCCACACAGGAGCGCGGCAGACCCCAAAGGAGCACGGCAGACCACAGGAGCACGGCAGACCACACAGGAGCACGGCAGACCCCACACGAGCACGGCAGACCAAAGAGACGACACAAGGAGCACAGCAGATCCCGCAGGAGCAGGGCAGACACCACACGAGCACGGCAGATCCCAAATGAGCACGGCAGACACAGAAGCACTGCAGACCACACAAGAGCACCGCAGACCTCACAGGAGCACGGCAGACCCCACAGGAGCACGGCAGACCCCACAGGAGCAACACGTCAAGAAGTTATCCCGAAGGGGCAAACCAGCAACACGTCAAGAAGGTGCTGAGGGGGGCAAACCAGCAACACGTCAAGAAGTTATCCTGGGGGGCAAACCAGCAACACGTCAAGAAGTTATCCTGGGGGGGGCAAACCAGCAACACGTCAAGAAGTTATCCTGAGGGGGCAAACCAGCCACAGGTCCAAAAGATGCTGAGGGGGGCAAACCAGCAACACGTGAAGAAGTTATCCTGACGGGGCAAACCAGCAACACGTCAAAGGTTATCCTGAGGGGGGCAAACGAGCAACACGCCAAGAAGGTGCTGAGGTGGTCGACCACCAACACTTCAATAAGTTACCCTGAGGCAAAACCAGCCACTCGCCAAGAAGTCATCCTGAGGGGGCAAACCAGCAACACGTCAAGAAGGTGCTGAGGGGACAAACCAGCAACACGTCAAGAAGGTATCCTGGGGGGGGCAAACCAGCAACACGTCAATGCGGTATCCCGAGGGGACCAAACCAGCAACACCACTGCCGTGCTTCTTTGGTGTCTGCCGTGCTCCTGTGGAGTTTGCCGTGCGAACGTGTG